TGCTTATAGAAGGTGTTCATTCATTGAGTTAACTCACTGAGTAACATTAGAAGACAATAAAAAAAAAACAAATTATTTAGAGTCACCTAGCAAAGCCAAATAATTCATTGTGCTACATTTCTGTTATTTTTAAAAGTATTGTGGTTTTGCTTATAGAAGGTGTTCATTCATTGAGTTAACTCACTGAGTAACATTAGAAGACAATACTCTGATTTATACTTGCTACATTGAAGAATATTTGAATAAGTTACCTTTGAGGGACACTCATATACATTTAAATTATATGAGTTACTAATATTCACACCGACAAATTAGACATTTTCGCCACCACCACTGAAATTGTTAATCAGAATCAAAGTAGGTTCCCTAGGTTACAGGCAAAAAAAAAAAGTTCAAGTGCTATATGCATACATTTCAGTCAGGGAAGAAGAGATGCAAAAATACTATACTTCATTTCCTCTGAAATCTTGTCTTTGAGTTAGTATAATGGTCTAAATTTGTCTAAAAGAAGCTAAGAAAAGTATTTCTTCAGTTTCTCAAGAATCTAAATACTTCTTGGGTTTTCATTTCAAATTATATGTAATCACCTATAATAAAGCACAAAGTTAGCAAACACTTAAAAATACTAACCTCAAATAAACAGAATTTTATCATTTATTCCAGTACTTTTGTTCTGCTCTCTTTTTCAGGTTGCTAGGAAGGCTCTATATTTATTTTCAATGTTTAAAAACAAACAATATTTTCACTTTCTTCCCTTTGAAAATGGTAGAAAAATCTATTTTAAAATAGAGGCAAAACTCCTTGAAATATTTTTTCCTCTCCTCAAAACAGACCTATATTTGGTATACATTTTTAAATTTTTATTATATATGAGATGGAGGATCATTTTGAAAAAATTTCACTTTAATAAGTAACTAGCTATCACAGAGTGACCTATATCATGGGAAGTACAAGAAACATGTATGTATGAAGCACCACTGCCTTATATAGTACCCTTAATTTAAAAAACTGGATTATATTTATTGATCTATTTTAGATACAATGAACTACTATCATTCAAGATAAAACAAAATTGATCCTCAATGTACATAAAACAAGATATGTATTTGCACTATAACCAGGTAACTTCAGGCAACTAAGCATGCAAACTACATACATAAATATTATACTATCTGTTACTAACAAGTTCTATTCAAGGCTTCATGTCACAAAATTTAATGACTGAAAACTAAAGAGCACCTAGCAAAAAAAAATGTATTAAATGCTTTCCTGTGAATGGAAAAAGTTCACCCAGCAAACTCTCAGCAATACTGATCATAAAGACATTATACATCAGTCCCATATTTAAAAGGATTCTGTCTCCTTGGTCTACTTCAAACAGTTCACTGTAGCTTGATTCTATTTATGCTGCTTCTTAATAGAAGCAAAGCTCATAGCTTTGCATGTGATGAGATCGTGTGAGAATATAAGCAATCTTGAAATAATTTGCACTTATCACTTCTACTTTTTCTCATTATGGCATAAGAAATGCTGCCTTCTCAAATGCACAGATGTGCTTCATGTGCACTTTCCATCTGCCACACAGAAATATGCTTGCTCTGTATAATGTGGAAGAAAAGCTCAGGACTTTCTTAATAAAATCTAGATAGCAATGGTATTTTCTAAATCATGAAAAGCTACTTGAAAGCTATTAAATAAATTCTATCTTAATTACTATAATTTTTAAGGTATATTTTATTCTGAGTAATTCAGAGTATCTTTAAGCAACCTTATAATGCACAGAGGTCAGCCTTGCAAAAATGGAGACTTAATTTAAAAAAAAAACTATTAGAAACCTCTATATATGATAAATTTGTAAATGATTTTAGACTTACTAACATTGTGTTTAAAATTTCTTACACAACCATACCTCTTTCCTTAAAATATGTTCTCTAGCAGAATACCAAACTAACAGAACAAATCACATATAAAAAAACCCTTTCAGTAACGCATTTTCTGACAGGTCCAAGGAGACCAAAAATTAAGACATGGGACCCAAAAACAGAATGCTAGAGGCCCAGGATAAAAACAAAACAATGTATGACACTAGGTTGCCTAATTAAAGAACCAGAAGTTCACAATAATATAAGAGAGAACATCTACACAACAGTTTTAAAAATAAAAAATACATGCAGGCAATAGAATTAAAAATATAAATGTAAAGCATGTTTTCATGAAAGGACATAAAAACTGTGTAAATATCATAACCACTATACAAATACAGGCAGACCTCAGAGATATTGCAGGTTTGGCTCCAGACCACCACAATAAAGTAAATACTGCAATAAATCAAGTTAGATGAATTTTTTGGTTTCCCAGTACATACAAATGTTGTGTTCACACTATACTATAGTCTATTAAGGGTACAATAATACTGTGTCTAAGCAATATACATGCCTTAATTAAAAAACACTTTATTGCTAAATAATGCTACCCATCATCTGAGCCTTCAGCAAGTCTTAATCTTTTTGCTGAGGGAGGGTCTTGCCTGGATGTTGATGGCTGCTGACTGATGAGAGTGGTGGTTGCTGAAGGCTGGCGTGGCCGTGGCAATTTCTTAAAATAGGACAACAATGAAGTTTGCCTTAATGATTGGCTCTTCCTTTCGTGAATGATCTCTCTGTAGCATGCAATGCTGTTTGATAACATTTTACCCACAGTGGAACTTCTTTCAAAATTGGAGTCAATCCTCTCAAACCCTGCTGCTGCTTTATCAACTAAGCTTATGTAATACTCTAAATCCTTTGTTGTCATTTCAACAATCTTCACATCATCTTCACCAACAGTAGATTCCATCTCAAGAAACCACTTTCTTTGCTCATCCATAAAAAGCAACTCCTCATCCATTAAAGTTTTATCATGAGATTGGAGCAATTCAGTCACATCTTCAGGCTCTACTTCTAATTCTAGTTCTCTTGCTATTTCAACCACATCTGCAGTTACTTCCTCCACTGAAGTCTTTAGTTCCTCAAAGTCATTAGTGAGGGTTGGAATCAACTTTTTCCAAACTCTTGTTAATGTTGATATTTTAACCTCTTCCCATGAATCACGAATGTTCTTAATGGCATCTAGAATGGTGAATCCTTTCCAGAAGGTTTTCAATTTACTTTGCCCAGATCGATCAGAGGGATCACTATCTATGGCAGCTATAGCTTTACGAAATGTATTTCTTAAATAATAAGATTTAAAAGTTGAAATTACTCCTTGATCCATGGGCTGCAGAAAGGATGTGTTAGCAGGCATGAAAACAACATTAATCTCATTGTACATCTCCATCAGAGCTCTTGGGTGACCAGGTGCATTGTCAATAAGCAGTAATATTTTGAAAGGTATCTTTTTTTCTGAACAGTATATCTCCACATTGGGCTTAAAATATTCAGTAAACCATGTTGTAAACAGATGTGCTGTCATCCAAGCTCTGTTGTTCCATTTATAGAGCACAGGCAGAGTAGATTTAGCATAATTCTTAAGGGCCCTAGGATTTTCAGAATGGTAAATGAGCATTGGCTTCAACTTAAAGTCACCAGCTGCATTAGCGCCTAACAAGAGAGCCAGCCTGTCCTTTGAAGCTTTGAAGCCAGGCATTGACTTCTCCTCTCTAGCTATGAAAGTCCTTGATGGCATCTTCTTCCAATATAAGGCTGTTTCATCTACATTGAAAATCTGTTGTTTAGTGTAGCCACCTTCATTGATTATCTTAGCTAGATCTTCTGGATAACTCACTGCAGCTTCTACATTAGCATTTGCAGCTTCCCCTTGCACTCTGATATTATGGAGACGGCTTCTCTCCTTAAACCTCATGAACCAACCTCTGCTAGCTTCAAACTTTTCTTCTGCAGCTTCTTCCCCTCTTTCAGCTTTCAAAGAATTGAAGAGAGTTAGAGCCTTGCTCTGGATCAGGCTTTGGCTTAAGGGAACATTGTGGCTAATTTGATCTTCTATCCAGACCACTAAAACTTTCTCCATATCAGCAATAAGGCTGTTTCGCTTTCTTATCATTCGTGTGTTCACTGGAGTGCCACTTTTAATTTCCTTCAAGAACTTTTCCTTTGCATTCACAACTTGGCTGACTGTTTGACGCAAGAGGCCTAGTTTTCGGCCTATCTCAGCTTTTGACATGCCTTCCTCACTAAGCTTAATCATTTCCAGTTTCTGATTTAAAGTGAGAGATGTACGACTCTTCCTTTCACTTGAATACTTAGAGGCCATTGCAGGGTTATTAATTGGACTGTTTTCAATATTCTGTGTCTCAGGGAATAGGAGGCCTGAGGGGAGGGAGAGAGAGGGGGAATGGCTGGTTGGCGGGGCAGTCAGAACACACACATTTATGGAGTAAGTTCACTGTCTTATGAAAGTGTGATTTGTGATGCCCACAAATAATTAAAATAGTAATATCAAAGATTACCGATCACAGATCACCATAACAGATAAAAGAGGAAAAAGCGTTAGAAATACTGTAAGAATAACAAAATGTGACACAGACATATAAAGTGAGCAAGTGCTGCTGGAAAAATGGTGCTGACACACTTGCTTGATGCAGGGTTGCCACAAACCTAAGTTTGTGCGGGGTGGGGGGAAACCCCAAAAACCTCAGTATCTGCACAGCACAATAAAGCTCAATGAAATGAGGTGTGCCTATCTTGTGTAAACCTTCAGATTGTAGCTATCTCTTTTGAGAGGTTTATTAAGACATTAGTTTTTACCTTAAATTATTTACAGAGAAATTTACCTCCCTCTGAAATAGTAAGTCAAGTAGCACTTCAAGTTTTTTCCTTCATGGAAATAGTTGCTGGAATAGAAAAATATGAAAAGTCTTAATCAATGGATTTCATATTTCCATGTTCTAATATAGATTTTAAATTTAAACCTTTTCCTTTTACAGAAACCAACTATTGATAATACATTGTTATAGTCTCAGCAAATCAAAGAAGCATTTAATCACACATTATAATGCCAAAGAAAACAATTAAAAATTTTATTTATACACTAGCTCAGAACAATCAATTGACCTCCACATCCACTTGAAAAAAGCAAGAGAAAAAGAAGTTTTTTACAAGTTTACAATCCAAAAAAAGCAGACAGGTGGCTGTAGAGGCCAATTCAGAAATTACAGTTGTCCAGTATCTGCTAGAATATAACTCATGAACTGTTGTGCCCTTCTAATTCCTGTATTTTGTCACACTTATTGCTTGCTTTGACTTCTTCATATGTACGAAGCTGCTCCAAGAAGCCAGCATTTGGACACATGGAAGGCCTGGCATTTTTCACCAAAGAAAAAGCGCTGGTAAATGAGACGTCTTCAGAACTCATCAGGAAGCCTATTACAATTGCAGCAGCCCTGGAAACTCCTGCATTACAATGAACAAGAACCACTCCGTCCTGCAATAAAAATCAAACAAAAATCCTCATTATTCACTTAAGAAAGGTTTTTAAACTGCACATTCTTATACTAATAAAATAAACATATTCATTTATCAGTTTTATTCAATTCAAATATTAGATTTGAATACAATTCTAAAAATACAATTCATTGTTAAGTAATCAATGGAAAGATCAATCAATCAATCAACAAACACCTTCTCTTCTCACCACCCTCAACCCCAGGATTGAAATGCTTTGATGATTTACTTGGAATTTTGAAATATCTTTTATTAAACTGAAGTAATCTAGTAAAGTACACATAAAAGCCTGGTAAACTTAGCATAGATAAGAAAAAAATAACAGGGAAAAAATAAAACCCTAATCATAAAACTAAACAGAAAGTTTGAGACATTCTAGGTACATATAGTGTTCCCATAAAGAAATTAGTATCACTGTCTTGGAAATCTATGTGTAAAATCTATGTGTAAAATGATCAGCAAGGAAAAAATTTCTACCCTTGGATTCTGAGGGAAAGTAACTTTAAAAATAGTTAAACTTATGAGGTAGTAAAATAATGACATAAATAGTTTATGACAATTCAAAGTGGAAAAGGCAATCAGACACTAGCACAAGGTCAATAAATGAAAAATGTTTCAGGTAGCTTGAAAATGATATTTTACAAGTGAAAAAGGATACAGTGCAAGACCAATGTTGATGGGGTAATACTACATTAATAATAAACGTGGTGGATCTGAGGTAATAGCACTGATACCAGTTGGCTTATCACAGGCTTTCCGAAAGTTAATAATCTAAATGAAATGTAGTGAACTGTGAGCACGCCCTACAGAATTAGAATTTTTAGTTACTTATTTCTTGGTTCTTCTTTTAGTACAATACCAAAGAAAGACTGGGAGAGGGAAAAGGAGAAAAAATACAACTTATAACTAAGAACTCACTACCCAAAGCATACTACTATGTTTATGACTCACTGGATTATTTTATTTTTGCAAGGCTGTATTCTAGATTCATAAACCTGTTGCAAAATTCCTTTCCTAGATCTGTTGTAATCTCATTTCAAGAAAGCCAGATGATTAACAACAAAATTGTTAATATTTTGATAACCTTCACATCAAAAAGACAATTTCAATTGTTTCCTTACATATATTTATGACTAATTTCCAAATTTTAACTGTTTCTGTACATTAAAAGTAAAACAAATGTTCACTACACAAACGTGGAACTTTTCTCACTTTGCACACTAGCTCATTTTTACAAGAGTTAAGACATTTGAAAATCATATCACAGTAATTGATGAAAACTATTAATCAACTTCTTTTAACTCAAATCAAATGTGTTCCAAAGAAACTAATCATAAGCTTGGAATCATAATCAGTGTCATGCTTAATATTTCCTGACTACGTACTAGTCATCTCTATTTTTAAGCTATATGTATGCTTTTGAAAATAAAGCTAGCTTTCTTTTCTTATTTTTTAAATTAAGGTATCCCTGATATACAATCTTATGAAGGTTTCACATGAGCAACATTGTGCTTTCAACATTCACCCATATTATCAAGTCCCCCCACCACCTCACTGCAATCACTGTCCATCAGCATAGTAAGATGAAAATTAACTTTATTTTCAGTCTTATTGTACCATGCATCCAGTTTTAGTAATGTTAATAATGTTAGTATTTTCTTCTTTCTTATATCCTTTATGTAACAGCTACCTTTCTGTTGGTTTCTACAGCCTTGGAATTCACCTATTTACCTTTTATTATTCCTTAAGTGTTACATGATCCTTGAAAGTATTTCCAGAAAAAATACTGGCTTTATATTACTTCCCTTTCCAGAATTCAAAACAGTGACAATTAAGTAATTTGCAAAGCAGTTTTTTTTCTTTTGCACTTGCTACTGTCAGCTGCCTGAAAGGCCTTTCCTCCTTGTCTTGGCCCAGCTAACTGGCTTCTGTTGGAAGAAGGCTGCCTCTCTCTGAGTGAGAAGAGAGCAGGAGGAACATCTTGGCCACTTTGTGTGTCTACTGCTTAGTGCAATTTTTGGCACATAGTAAGTATTCCGTAAATGTTTGCTAAGTGAATAAATTAATTTGTTCTGAACTTCTGAGAAGAAAGAGTTCTCTTAAAATTTTAAATCACTGTTTTGCTACAGGCAGATAGGAATTATGCTACAGTATTTCCACTTTTTCAAGTTTCTTTGTTCTCGTGAGTGTATGTTATAAACAGCTTTTTAACTAGACTACAAGCTCCTTGAGGGCAACAACATGCATCCCTTGTATGTTTTCAGAGTAAGTAATTAATATTTGTTAACAGATTAACTGAGCAAAGTTCAGTAAATGAGTGTTCTGATACATAGAAAAATATATCAAATGCTAACAGTGGTTACACCTAACAGTGAAAGAACTGTGATCTAAATTTTAACTCATTTGTATTTTCAATTTTTCTGTGATAATATGGATTATTTACCTGACGTTTTAAAAATCACAAAAAATAAGTAATAAACATGGAATATTAAATACACATTTTCATACTAACAAAGCCACACATTAATAAAAGGGGCCAAGTGAATTTCCCTAAAAGAATACTTCTATCCCTTTAGGAATAAATCAGACGAAAACACAGGAGGACCCATAAAAGAAGGACAGAGAAACAAAACAAGCAGGAAGGGTCTTACAAGTGCAGAGGAAAAGACATGGGAAGATGGAAGATACACCATTTGGCAGCTCTTTGTAAAAAGATGGAAATAAACTAGGGCCAGGAATGGTAGTTTTGAAATATGCAATTCACTGAGTAATCAGATTTAATAAAACTTGCATATATAATAAAGTCATGAAGAAACTCTTCTAGAAAAAAGTGAATGAAGAAAATTCAAAAATCCTATTGCTAAAACTAAATATGTATTAATCTAAACAATTTTCGGGGCAAGGAAATTTTGGCTGAGGTTAGATCCCAGTATAAAACAATAAGGCTTGAGAAATTAGAACTTATTATGGAATTCTATTACATTGTATAGCAGAAACATTTTATACATCTCCTCAGATTCTCTGTGTGCCATCATCTCATCTGTGGCTGACTGTTTCCCAAAGGCCTATTGAGTTTTGCTTGCCTAAGAAATCAGGGTGTACCTGTAGCAGTCTCTTCATAGCCAGGTACACCCTGAGCTCTGGATTCTCTTGCTGCTGCTGAACTTGGATAGAAAGTAACACCACAGGATATTGGGTTTGGTTTCAAGTTAGCTGCTGAAGTAGAATGTTGTACCCTGGAATTGCAGGGTTAGTCACCTCCCCATGGGCAAATTCTGAGCAATTGGAAACAGGAGCTGACAGAGTCAGGAAGGTAAATTCTCTCTCTTTCCTCCTCCCAAAGTCTGTACTGAAGTGCAGTTTCTTTGTACTCCCTGTCCTGAGATGTCAGGTGGGAGAGCAGATGTACCTACCTAGCACCCAGCTATTTCACTGTCAGCTCACTGTGAAGTTGTACTAGATAGGTAAACACATCATCTTATGTTGCTTCTCATCCTTCCCTGAATCTTTTCCCTTTCTTCTTATCTCACTAACTATGGATTGCACCTCTCTAATGAAGCATCAGCTCTTAATCATTGTCTCAGGTTCTCTTTTTTAGGAATCCCAAGCTAAGGATCCTTTTAATTAAATATTATCCTTTCCATTTTTTATTTGTAACATGTACCTATCTTCTAATATTGGTATGAATGTGGATGATGCCCCCATTTTCCTGTTACCACCTAAGCATATTCTACATCTGCTTAGAGAAGCAGCTATACAGAAACATCATTTTTATATGGAATGCTGGAGAGCCTACAGAATTTTTCACAAGAGAATGGACTGGCCAATATTAGGCTGTGAATTAGAAAGCCTTTTCCTTTTATTTTATCCAAATATCTGCTGTTAAATAAAGTTGAATGGTAGGGTTCAATAGTTTTATATTTTCCAGGTAATTTAGAGGAAGGCACCTAGAAGAGTGCTGGGCACAAAACGCACTCAATGAACATTACTAAATAAAAGGGAAGAAGACAGAGGAAGGGAGAAAGGGAAGGAAAACATAGAAGGGATATCATTAGATAGAATTCAACTAAACTGGACTCTAATATTAACTGTCATTAGTTGTCAGGTGTTCCAGGAGAGTTAACTTTTCTCGGTAACATTCACTTCAACATTCCCATCTAGTTATCAAACATACATTTTGTAAGAATTATATGCTAAAACTGATGTCATTTCAAGGTACAATTATTGGTACAGCCAAACTAGAAGCTGAGGTTTGCTTGGATCCAGGACCAAGGCTGAAGGATTATACTGTCTGTTAGTCTTCTAGAGTCAGAGAACCAATAGACAGGCCAGCTTCTGATCAGCATTTTCACACAAACTCAGTAAAGCAATACATACTTAGTCCTCATAGTACCCTAAAATTCTATCATTAAAAATGCATATTCACAATCCCTACCTCAGCCATGAAAATGAATGCATATTAATCCTCATAAATACACTACAAGGCCTACAGCAGCCTCTATCCATAGTCCACCTGATTGTCCTGCAAATTGGTCACAGGGCAGATGATTTTAAACCATTAGATGGAATCTAAGTACATATATACATAGGAAAATTCAGTAAGTGGAGAATTTTATCCCCCACCATTTTCATGAAGGCATAGGAAGATGAGACATTAATGTTAAAAGAAAATATCTCATTGAGGAAAGATCAATTGGAGAACTAAATAGTTGTAGGAATTAATGAAATATTGTTGGGGGGCAAATTTTATGACTCTCCACATATTTGTTACAAAAAATAAAAATTGGATAATGGATATTTTAAAATGTCTGCTTTTGAAGAAATATAAATCAAAATAAAACTTACATTCATTTTTGCTTGTTCAATAAACTCAAAACATTCTGGAAAATAAGACAGGATATTGGCGTCAGGCAGATCCAAAATAGAAATGCTCTTATACAAAAAGTCACTGAGGAAAGCATTTTCAACTCCATATGCAACATTGAGAATATGAGTCACCTTACAGAGAAAAAAAAATGATTGTTAAAAATTATCATTAATTAGGCTAATAAAAAAAGACAAGGATGTTGAGGTCTCTAACAAGAATAAATGATCTAGGCATGACATACCTGAATAATACTTTCTCCAGGAAGCCTTCTTTGACTGCCTCATCCCTGACCAGAAGTGCTATATATTCCCATAGCACCCTCCACTTGCCCTATTACAGCCCTTACCACTTAGAGGTAATTTGCCTCCTTCACTGTCTAGATACTCCATGAGGGCAGGGACCATGTTTAACTTACTATTGTAAGTAAGTATTGTGAGTGAGCAGTGTCCTTAGCACAGAAATTACTTAAAATATTTGTTGAATAAGTCAATGACAGTCCATATGGAAAGATCTTAAAATAGGGAAATGCATCAATAGCACAAACTTCCCTTTCAATAATCATTTCCCTATTTTCCTTCATATTCTTTGTAAGTACAATAGTCCTCAAGTACAGCTGCACATTAGAATCACCCAGTGAGCTTTTAAAAATTTCAATGCCACAGGATGTCAAACGCAGAGACTCTGATGAATGTCTGATAGAAAGGTGGGATGGTCATGCAAGATTTTCTTTCAAGTGGTACACATAAGCAACATCTGGCTCCATTTATGCATTTCAACTCCTTCCCTAGAGTCCAGCAAGCATACAGATGGAGCCATGTGGAAAGTCCACAGAAAGAATCCAAAGGCTAAATGGATCAGAAAAATGAGTCATGATATGCTTCTCACTGTATTTATTCTCTTAATGTGGGTCTTAGGTTTTGCCTAATCTCAGTATTTTCATGTACTCACACCCATTTTGGAGTATTTGCCCAGCCTGCCTCTCTTGCCCCCACTACCCTAAGGTATGGCCCAGCAGTGCCGCACTCCTCCCTCCAGCACCGAAGACTGGATTCAGGCAGACAGCTGACAAACTGGGCTGATGAGATTATCTTTAGAAACTAAAAAAAAATCAGTGTAAAAGACAGCTAGAACGATCCACAAACTTGAGAGCTTAAGCCAGCCATTATCTATTAAGTGCTCAGAAAGGCTGAAAAAGTCCTTCTCCCCAATGAGAATAGAGTAGATGGGCAGACAGGGGCCAGGATGCCAGTGGGAGGGAGGGACTATCCCGGATAGCCTTCTATAGTCTAGCATAGCTCCTCTCTGCCCTCATGTTCCAGAGAGCCCCCTAAATTATCACACATGTTCTCTTTCCTTTCTCAGGTTTCTGTGATTTACAACCAAGAGATTTAAGACATTCAGAGAGCTAGAAGAGAGAGCTACAGGCATTTACTAACCTAACTGCTTTGTAGAAGAAACACAACAGAACTACCTCAAATATCTACTCAAGAAAGACTCTTAAATAGAAAGAAGATGGGAGAAGCTAGAAAGAAGGGAAGTACATTTTTAGAAGATACAGTCTTAAATGTCCTTATGGTTTCTTCAGTGAAGTATTATCTGATTATGTCAAGTCACTTTCTTACTCCCAGTGTATGGACCAGGATTATATGATCCTGCCCTTAATTACATAGTATCTTCTAAAGTTTTATAATACTAATGTGTTTGCCTTGTCTTTATGACTATATTCTATATTGCCAAAAGATGAGAAATGAGGTTTGACCACTTACAGAAATTTGTATTTATATATAACATTACCCATGTATCTTCCCTATACATAGTGGGATTATGTAAATGACTAAATGAGAATCTTGGGAAAATTTGTTGAAAGGCAAAAGTGCTTTACAAATACTGGACATTATTAAACTACCCAGTGGCTGGGTAGTTTAGCTGTTTGGAAATGCAATTTATATGTGAATCGATTGAATGTATTGAGTCACAGGTCAGGGTGGTGATAGGGACCCAGCCTAAAATCCTTCTAGTAATCAAGCACGCTTCCAACATGCAGTTACAGAAGTTCTAGCAGTGGCTGCCCTTGGGGTGCCCTTTATAATAGGGATAATAAGAACAGCTTTACTGAGAACTTGGTATGTGCTAAACATACAGGTTGCCTCACTTAATCCTCACATTCAGGCATTGTTTCCACTTTCAATAAAATTTTATTTTTTGAATTGGTTCAAAGATCAATTATTAAAAGAAACATGAATAAGTCTTGTTCTTCCCCTGTCCCTATCACTCCATTACCTCCCACAAGAATGGTAACCACCTTTGTAATTTCTGGCATATTCTTTGAGAGTATCTTTATGCAAATATTTTACTTACTCCCTTTCTTATACAAAGGGAAGACCTTGGGTTTTTTACCTCCACTTATATATGTTCAGAATATCTTTTCATATTCGTATTTAGAGACCCTTTTTTGTGTGTTCTTTTTTATAGCTATTGTGTAGGTGTACTATTTTTTACTTAAGTAATCCCTTTTGATGGACACATGGTTGTTTTCAATAATTTGCTATTATAAACAATGCTGCAATAAATAACTTGGAACATTTTATGCTACAATTAGTTTTCTATCCTCCACAGTGCTTTACTGGGCACACACTAGGCACTTAATGAGTATCTTATTAATGAATCAACTATCATTACTGTATCCAAACATTAAAATGAAATTCATTTGGAAATTTCTGAAATGAATCCTCCACAACAGAATTTCTATTAGTTAGAGCACTTTACTTAAATCCTAGGACATGCCTTTGAAATATGCCGTGCATTTAAATAATTTTGTTTTGCAGTATCAGCATCCTTAAAGTTTTTCTAGAAACCTCTATTCAGCTGCTCAGTTTACTTTGCTTCTTCCAGGTAGCTAACAGAATATAGAGATATGTATATAGACAGAAGCTTCTTTTAAAGAGCTGTTTGGTTCTCATCACCAGAAGAAAGTGAATTTGAACTAATGTGTTACAAGAGGGAATAGATAATAACACTTGCCAATAAACAAATTCAGCAGTTTTTCTTTCTTCATCTTTTACCCTGAGAAATATTAACTTATTAGTGTAAGCAAGACTTTCAGACTTGTTCTACTTATAGTTAAGATATTAATCTAAGAGGGTTCCTATCTGGAATTACAACAATTCTCATATCCTTATACAATTCCAGGCCATTATCTCTCATTGTCAGGGAGTTATTTTTATAACTATTACTACAATAGCCTCATAACTGTCTCATCTCTAGCTTAAGCAACCCTCCAAATCTATTTTCCACATTGCCTCTGACAAGCAATCTTTATAAAATGCAAATTTGATTCTGTTACTTCCCTCAGTGAAGCCTTTTGAAGGCTTTCCACTCTCTTTTGGGTCAAGTCCCAGAATTCACTCTGACTTATACAGACTTCATGGTCTGGCTCATGCTTCTCTCTCTGGCCTTGTCTCGTGGTAGCCTTCTTTTGCACACTCTCTCTTCTAGGGTTCTCTATTCTGAACTTTTCTGTCTCTGAAAGCACAGCTTTTCTCTTTCCCTCTGGGCCTTCACACAAACCATTTCTTCTATTTGAATACTTTTCTGTTTGTTTCCTTCCCACCCCAATCAGAGCAAAACTTCAAATCTTCCTCCAGGAGGATTTCCTTGACCTTACCATCCCCAACACAACCCAATACAAGCCAAACACACCTGGGTTAAGGGCATCACCTCCTATGCTCTCCAACAGCACTGAATTTCCCCCATCAAAGCACACAGTACTGTACTGTAATGGCTTATCTGTCTTCCCTCTCTGCCCCTCAGATCACAAGATTCATGTGAACAAGAACTTCCTGCATTCCTAAAACCATAGCAATTTCATGACCCTGAAACGGTGCTTGACAAAAGAGTAGATGGGTCAAAACATTTTGGATGTAAATATTTAAATAAGTAATAAATCACATCAGTTGCACCAGCAAGGGTTAGAGGAAATGGCACTGGGGAGGATGTGGTATGGTAAGTCTTGGACAAAAAAAGAAGAGGGAAAATGTAGTTCCACTTAGAGGAACTACATGAACGGAGGAAAGAAGACATGGCTCCAAAGTCAGCTTCATGAGGATACATAAAGGAGATTAAGAGAAATATAAAGCTGGAAAAATGGATTACAAATCCACTCACTTGAATTAAGTGCAATAATTTTTGCAACTTTATGAAAATGATAGCCAAAAATGTTACCAACTAAACTCTGAAATGGACCAATACAGTTTTTCTTAAATAAATGTAACAATTAAAATACTTCTTATACATGGTACCAGACCTGAAAAATTTCCTTTTACCTTGTGCTTTTTCAATGTATCCAGATCATGAGCAGCATCCTGTGACCCTATAAGAAACAGATCATGTCATCTTGAACATAAAAATAATCACCCTGACTTTTTAATCCATTTTTTTTGCAAAAATCCTGCTATTCATTTACTTTACAAAATACAGTCCAAATTTCTGAAAGACAATTAGAGAATATTTGTCAAAAACTATTCACCATGTATATATTCTCAGACTCTGAAAGCTCACTTCTAAGAATTTATCTTTAAAGTCCTAGATGTTGCAAAGATTACCTATCAGAATTTTCATTACAGTATTGTTTGTAATACAAAAAATAATAATAAACAAACAAATGAACAACCAACCAAAAACCCAATAATAGGGATTAGGTTAAATAAAAGATGATACAATTATGAAGTGAAATATATACAGCCATTAGAAATAAGAAATGAAGAATATTTATGGCATGGGAACATATTAATATATTAGGTGATAAAGCTGGTTACAAAATACCATCATTCATTTCCGTAAAAACAAAGTATGTATAAATATATATATATTTATATATTCATATATATACATATGCTTTAAAATGTACAGGAAGTATCTAGAAGAAAATGTTAACAGGATCACAGGTGATCCTTTTTTGTTATGCTTTTACATATTTCACAACAAATACTGTTTCTTTTGTAATTCAAAAAAGGATATTAAAAAAAAAAGATACCCACAGAAGACTTAGCCCAGCTGGTTTGGGAACACCCAGTAGCTTAGAGCAAACACTGTTGGTCTATAGGATTCCACCCACATGCTGTGTACCACTAAAGCTGTGCCCTTTTGCAGTTGTTTCCTGTCAAAGTTGTGCTTCCAGATCTCCTATACTTGGAAAATGACTCTAGTTAATAAGCAAGTTTATACACGAGAATAATTAGTTAAAGTGAGTTATATAATTGAAAAAATAAAGCATTACTATTTAAAGATTTCAGGTATTTTACTTTCCTGAATTAGATCCACTTCCATAAACAATGTTTTTCTTAACTTATCTATCTGGGAAATCTGCCCACTTCTAGTACAGATTTTGATTTTAGGTAACTGAAAGGCCATCAAGTACAGTGGCTGGCTAATATTCTCTTGGTAATACAAAGCTGACAGTCTCCTTACGGAGCCTACATGTGACTTTATTCTACTTAAAAGTTAGCCTATCAAAATACTAACATTTGTTAAAGCTGGATGGTAGATACATAATTTTCTGGTAAATTATTGTCAGTAATTTTCTGTAGATTTGAAATACTTCATAACTCTTAAAAAAATTCTGTTTTTTGTAGGAAGTCCTCACCACCACCAGAGTAAAAAACATGGGTTCAAATAAGATAACTGAAATTTGGTGGTTTAATATGCATGTCATCTTTTAAATAACAATTCTACTCTGCCTATTTCTTAAAACATAGCAAAAAAAGTAATAGGCATGAATGAAATTCTTTTTTTTTTAAACCCTAGACTGGTACTGTTATATTTATCAAAGCTGGATACTTTGGACACATATTGCCAAATAGTACAGGTCAATTATATTTCAGAGTTGGCCATATTTTGAAAGTGACTTCCAGAATATGACTATCTTGATACAGATTCAGTATTCTTGAGGCCAAAAAAATATAACTTGTGTGCTTTGCCTTTTCAAATGATACCATTATAGGTGTGTAAATAGTGTGGGCGAATGATTGTAGTCAGCTCAGATGGGTTTCAAGTGATTGGCTTGTGTGTTTTATCTACTACTTAGTTCAAGTTAATTCTAAATTCTACATATAAATATCAGTTTTTGTCCAATTTTACATGGTTACTTTGTGTTGTAGTATTGTGTTAAGACTTTTACTGGAATACATTTATCATGAAAAGAAATAACATTGTAAATCATATATTATGACAATGTGTTACTTAAACCACTGTTTTGAAAGAGTAGAATGCCATGTTTTACAAACTATCTTACAATTGACATTTAAAAACAAGTATCAATTTTTAAAATGTTATTTTTAATGGTGACTACATGAATCTATAACTATGTTAAAATTCACAGTGCTGAATACCAAGTCAATTTTACTTTAGAGTAACTTTAAAAATTAAAAAAAAGTTGAAGACTAGGAAAACAACTAAACAAGAGGTTTAAGAATAGTAACAATTTATATTTATATAAACCACTAATATTCATTATCTTGGCCAAGGATTATTATGGAACTAATACAGATTAGGTAACTGGTTTAGAAAGAATATATAATTACATGCTGTTGGAATTGGGATTTCTAACAAGTTCATTGTTTTGCAATTATATTATATGTATTTTAAAAAACATGCTACATAATACCTCCAGAATCCTGTTCCTATTTTTTAAAGAAATCCTTTTAATGAAAACACCAAATATTGTATAAATTCTGATACAGCATGTCTTAATTTACAAATTACTATTTTGATCACAAAAAAAAACAAAAAAATTATTATATCACTGAAAATGGAAATGATATTCCAAAGAGAAATAAATGTTTTGAGAAAATTTGTAAAAGTGAACATTCATAAATAAAAATAGAAGCATAAATTACTATGAAGGTAAGATAATATTTGTGAAAGAATTTTACAAAATAAAGAGCTATACAAATTTAATGTATTATCAACCTCCTAAGAACATTGGGTTTTCTAGATAAGAGAAATTTTCTATAACCTTACAGAGGATCCCAGGATTTTCACCTAGAATTGAAGAGATCTCAAACATGTTACCATCTGAGACTTCTTTTCAGAATGGATATAATAAATAGGTCAGCCTTTTAACTACTCAAGAAACACGAATTTTCTACTTTTACAAATCAAGTTGGATTTAAGAAAAGTCCTAATGATTTTGTGGTAAAAATATAGTTTGACAAAAGTGCTCACTGACAAAGATCTTTTATCAACCTGTTAGATAGCTCAAGGGCCTATGTTAAGATTTTTTAAATGCAGAAGCTTGTTTGAATTTATAAGCTAACTGAAAAAAGACAGAAGTTTTTACAGCTTTCCATTTTCATTATTCCCCACCAGAACAAAAGTGAATTTCATGTAGTCCTGGGTGGGACTTCTGATGGCTTTGAAGAGGTGAAGGAAACTCTTCGAAGCAACCTAGAAACAATCCCCATCTCCAGAGAGAAACCTAGTCTGGTCAGAAACAATCCTTGTATCATTCATGAGGAAGAACTTTACTTTAACCATCCATGGGTCCCTCAGGAATGAGGCACCTGTAGCTAGGTAGGACAAAGTCCATCTACCTCTTCAAAGAAAGGAGGTTGTGACTGATGAAACTATCCCATTTATTGGTCCAGAGAGCATACCATATTAGGACTAGTTTCAAGAAGTTCCACCCAGAACTCTCCTAGGATCCTGGGCAGGGCTCCAAGGCCAATCTAATACACTACCTTGATCAGCTCACTTTGGATAAATCTAGATTAAAAAAGAACAGGCAAAGTTTATGAAGACTCTGCAAGGTTGAATGAGATGTTAAAATTCTACCACAACAATTTCAAACCATTATTATTACAGTGGAAGCCAAATAACTGAAAAATGTGCCTAGACATTTTCTTTCTTTCCTAGAAATGGTATCAACTCCTGGGTGAACCCTTCAGACTAGCTCAACAACCCCTTAATTCTTCACTGGGCTACAGGAACTATTTGGAGATAGTTATATGGTGAATTTAAAGATAGCTCATATGACAATTCATATAATACATAATACAGTAACACCTCGTATGTATACTGCAATTGATTTGTTTCAAAAACCTTTACAATAACCTCAGGACAATTCTATGAGAGAGCACATACTGTTACTTCAGCTTTAAAGATGATGTTTCTGAGAACCAGAGAAAATAAATAATTTGCACTAGCTAATCTAGATAAAAGTAAAGCAGAGCTGAAAACCTGGACTCCATGAGGCAATCTTCAGAACCATGGAGAGTAGGGGTCCATCAGACTTGAGCTTGGGGCCACTCGGTTATTTAGTAGGTGTATTACCTTGTGCAAGTTACTTAACCAATCTTAAATCCAGTAAAATGGAGCCAATAATCCCTACTTCTCAGTTTTTAATAGGAGATGCTGTGTGCACTTCACATAGTTTCTGACTATTTCTGACTTTTAGTTCAGCGTTCTTTTTATGTCAGAATGGCTTGGCTGCATAAAAACTGACATTTTATTGACAATGAAAAATAACTCGAACTCAATCTAGAACACTGTTGACGATTTTTTAAAGAATACGATAACATAGCTTTGCCAAGCAAACAAATTTGTATTTTTATAACTGTGCTGTTTGCTATTTGTAGACTATGATTTGTATAGGGAAATCAGTATTTTCTGTAATACAAGAAATCATAAAGCTATCTGACTCACAGCTATAAAATAAAACCCCACCTTCTCCCACACACTCCAAAACACATCATGGACAAATGTGGCCACAGGAGGCATGCATTCCATATAGTTTATAACAGCAGAGCAGGAAAACAAGTACTTGACTATTTAATAGTACTAACTTTCCTATAATTTTCACCCTTGTCACCTGTAGTTTTACCTAATAAAAGCATTCTTTTTGATTTTACCTTTTTCGAAAAGGCTATCCTTTTATAATCCAAGAAAACACATCAATGTGTTATCCTCCAGAGAAGTTAGAAAAACAGAAGAAAGCTTTTCTAAAATTCAAATACCAGGTGCTATATACTACTAGAATCTATTCTTATAGATATATTTCGGGGCAGAAACATCACTAGCTAGCTAACATCCGAAAAAGGAAACATTTGAACTTTTCGGCAGGATACCTGATAATACAGACCTTTACACATTAGGGGGTTAAAGGAGAAAGTAATAAGGTTAAAAGGACTCAATGACTTAGTGGCAAAACGAATATACTCACCCAGGAGCAACCATGGCTTAATAACACCAACTTGCAGGTCTAAACTAAGGTCCTGCACATAACCACAACTACCCCCACTGCTCGGCTCTATTTCTTCCACAACATGAATTCTGGCATTTTTCCATGTTTCTATAATTCTCTTTCCAGTTAGCGTTGTCACTCGGGTGCATTGCTTCCTGAGATTATTCCGGGAGAATGCTTTAATTTCCTGGCTAAGGGATTGCATTACATGAGCAGTGGCTACGTACAAACACAAGTCGAAGCAGCCAGCACAGAAAAAGGCCGACCTACGCCTCCCCTGGTGCTCAGCTAACAAATACAGCCTCAGGGGTGCACTCCCCCACAGGTGACAGCATCCGCCACACGCTGGTGGACAAAGACCTCGTAGCTCCGTTTTTCCCAGAATCTCAAAATGTAACGCAAAGTTTGATTGGCCGTTGGGAAATGCACGCCGATTGGATGCTGTTTCTTCTTCCGGCCAGCCAAAGATCTGCATTATCCCGGCAGGCCGAAGGTGTCCGAGACTTTTCTTATTGCTGTTTAAATCTAGCTCTGTTTTCACAAAGAATGTAAAATATAAGACTTAGTGGGATAGAGGGCTGCTATTTCCTCACTGTTTAAAAGCAGTATTTTTTTGGTCTATTGTTCAGTTGGTGTCGTTTGTGGTGACCGTGAGCGAAATAGGCTGACCTGGCTATAACTTCTTTAGGGGAGCGGAGGTTGTTTAAAGACCTTTTATTAGTTCTATTCTTAAATTACGTTACAGGAAGTTGAAGACGGTAAAAGTAGTTTTTTGCTACGTTGGGTTTTGTGGGTACGAGTGTAAATGTGCAGAGCGATAGTGTAGGTAGCATCTGTGGTTCTGCTTTTTTATTTAGCTTTTAGGTTATATTTTTATATGCAAATTAGCATAAGCTTAAGACAAATGTTTTCTAATTGATGACGTTTTCACGGTCAGGTCAGTGTGACACTGCTGATGAAACCTTTATACCGTAAATATACGCTCTGTTTATGAAGCACTGCAACAAGTCCTTTCATAGTTTGAGAAAATCGTTATGCAGACATCCAGACTTACAAATCAATTCATACAATGATGATTCTGCTTAGAAAAGGATGGTTTGTTTTACAAAAGAAATCACAAGATTAAATAGGAATTTTTTCCTTACCTCACTTAAATAAAATGCAATTTTAAATGGGTTTAGATACAACATATAAACACATAAAGTGAAGACGTTGCAGTTAATGAAAACTTATTCTCCAACACCACATGTTAAAATCTTATTTTTTGAAACGTTCTGATATAAAAGTAAAATAAACCAACATTTTTCCTATGGAAAAGAGTGAGGTATCAGTGCAGGCCATCTACAGGGCACTCTAAAATGAAGAATTGAAGTAATTATTGCACCATTTAATCACAGGTTCCTCAAAAATAACTCTATATCACAAATCATTCCATATATTTATCATCAAATGATTTAAAAAAATAAGCTACAACTACTGGGCCACTTACTAGTGCTAGGTACTGTGTTTATAAGCAATTTTTAGATTCTCTGTTATCCAGTTACTTAATGATCGTTTACACACATTATCCCATTTGATCTCACCACAAGTCTTTATATGTATTTAGTATTACAATAATCTATATTTTACAACTGACGATGCCGAGAGAACAAATAACGTATCCTACATTTCACAACTCATAAGCTTATAACCACAGATAAAACCTAGGTGTGTTTAGTCTAATGCTCTTTACTATGGAAATACTGCCCTGCTCCCAAAAATGATTATAATTAACAAATATCTATTGAGCATCTACTATGTGCCAGACACTTAAAGTCACTAGGGATATGTCAGTGACTATAAACAAAGTCCCCTCTTTTATGGGGCTTATGGAACAGATGGACAGATAAATACATAAAGAAAGACGTACATACATACATACATACATACATACATCCATGTTAGGTCATGATTTAAGTGCTAAAAAGAAAAGTTAACTAAGGAGACAGAGTAAAGGGCAGTGTGCTGTTTGCTATTGGTTGGTGAAAGAAAGCCTCTCTGATAAAGGGCAACTTGAGCAGAATGGAATAAAGTTCAGGAGCCAGCTCTGTAGATATCTGGGGGAAGAACATTGCAGGTGGAAGGAATAGCTAGTGCTGAGACAGGAGTATACTGGTGGGAGGTGGGAAACAGGAAGGTTCAAGAAACTTCCATGGGAAAAATATGACTTTTGGGAGTGAGTGAAGGGAAGAATTGTAGAAGATGAGATCAGAGAGAAATGATGAAAACTTCAGATTGTATTTTGAGCGAAATGGGAGCCACTGGAGGGAAGTGGTTGGAAAGTGTGGATCCTGTGTTGTGCTGTCGCGATCCTCCTTCAGTGAATGCTTGTTGTCAGGGAGTGGTATTGGCTAAGTGGTAAATAATCTCTTCAGGGACTGCTTCAGCTGCAGAGGGCTGCCTTGCTTGAGACTGTGCCCTTCACAGGATAGACCACATCCAGGACTGACTGATGAGGGAACATAAAGGCCTGGCCATCTTAGCCCAACCTGAAACAACTGAAGGGAATTCTAGTTCTAAAGGCCAACATGTAGTTTATCAAGCCGGTCACTGGACCTGTAGAGCCTCTTGACTTCTGTGTCTGTCCAATCCTGATCATTTCCTTCCTTACACAAATGTTAACCCCAAGGCCACTTTTTAAACAAGTCCTGCATGCTAAACCCTACCTTAGTGTGCTTCTGGAAAAACCCAATCCATGATAAATGACGTGATATTAGGCTTATGCTACAGAAGGATCTTTCTGGCTGCTGTAAGGAGAGGGGGTAAAATGGAGGCAGGGAGATTTGTTATGAAGCTACTACAAAGGTCCAGATGGAAGATTATAGTTGCTTGGACTAGAATGGCAGCAGGCAGAGAGGTAACACATGGTCAGATTGTAGATAAATATAAGAGCCAAACCAAAAGGATTTATTAGCAGATTGATGCGGGGGAGATTAGGATAATTTCAAGGTTTTAAGCCAAAGCAAATGAAGAGTAGATCTGCCATTTTCCAAGAAAGGGATGTGTGTAGATGAAGAGTTCAATTTGGGACATTTTGAGTTTAATATGCAAGTAAGTCAACCAAATGGAGATGTCAGGAGGGCAGCTGAACAAATGAATCTAGACTTCATAGAAGAGATCTCTGCTGGAAATGCAAATTTTTTTAGTAATCAGTTTAAAGATGCCAATTAAAGCCACAAGACTGAATGAGATGATCTAGTAGTAAAGGTTGATAGGGAAGCCTGATGTATGCCCTCCTATAGAACTGAGGAAGAGAAGGAAGATCCAGCAAAGGTGACTGAGGAGAGGTCCAGAAGACAGGAAAAGAAAGACAGGTCTAAGACTACAAATAGAGTGTTTCAAGGAAGACAATGTGATCAACTGCTGATAGTGTTAAGTAAGATGAAGACTGAACACTAATACTAGATATGAAGACTGAAGGGGACTTAGTTTTTTCCCCCAGAAGTTAATTTTATTTTTAGACGCCCCCTTAGCATAAGTGCTACCATTTCAAGGATCCTACCTCAGCCAATCGGAGCTTGGGCTCTCTCCTCACCAGTCAGCAAGAAGCCCACCAACCACCCATAGACCCAGCCAATCGGCCAAGGCCACACCTCTCACCCCACCAACCACACCTAGACCCTTTGTACTTTTGAAACTCGGCTCTCTTTCTCTGGCATCTTGCCACCGCATTGGTGCAGATGAGAGACTGAGCTCGAACTAGCTTGAATAAAGGCTCTTTGCTTTTGCATCGGTGTTGGCTTCTTGGTGGTCTTCTGGGATTTGCAACTTTGGGCACAACAAAGACCTCCTCTGCAAGAACAGATGCTATGTACCAGCACTATACAAACATCTGATTCAATTCTCATGATAATCCAGTGAGGTGGATAATATCTTTTAAAGAGAAGGATATTTAATTTAGAACCTAGGAACCTAGCTTTTGGTCACAGAAGTTTGGATTGGTTTGTTAGATTCTAGTAACAACGGCAGTTGAACAGATCACTCTCTTAATCAAAAGCCCATGTTCTTTGTACCATATCACTCTGTAGAAGATGGGTAGAATTGTTGGTTACACATTAATAGCTGCTGTCCCTGCTGAGAATTCTGCAGTGCTAACAGGCCTGCGGTGGCAATGGATGCTATCACACTAATACTATACCCTGACTCTAACCAACTCAATCCTCTACTAGGCACCAAATCTAGGGAAGGAAACTAATTTGCCTAATATCACATTACTCAAGATCTCAGGTCTCTCCACCCCATAGTTAAGGCTTGTTTTACTTTACTATACGGTATTCCAAAAAAGCCCTTTTCCAAAAACTCCTTTTCATACAGGTAGCCTGGATGCAGAGGGATTGGGAGAGGCATCACTATCTCAGGCCTGGAGTGCTGGCAAAAGAGAAAAAAGAAGCAAAAGATTATGAGACCAAAGTCAGAGAGAGAGAGGGCCTCCATGGAGGAGGCATCATCTGTGTTGGGACATGATTGATGAGGGATTGTTCTGAAAGAGGGGGCACATCCTCACAAGGATTAAGGGGGGCCTGCATCTGGGAAAAAATGGGAAAGTCTGAAGTGGATACATCCTGGAATATGTTGCCATGCCCCCTATATAATTTCTCTCTCCTAACAGATTTACAGCATCTATGCAAAGTGCTATGCTAGGCATTTTCCAAGTATTATCTCTAATCCTCACAAAAATCCCACTTTCAGATAAGATAATTGAAATGCAAAGAGCTAATAAGCAGTGGATCTTGGATTCAATCTCAGGTCTGTTGGATCACAAGGCCCACTTTCATCCCACTACATTACATATTCGGACATAGTACATAATAAAATTGCCACGGGAATATGTGATCTTCATTAATTCAGATATGACTTATATGTGTAAAAACATAAGTAATTAAAACTGTGCTTTGCATCATAAGTTTTGGCTTGAGTTAATAGTCTCAATTCTGCACTGTGCTGAGAACACAGACACAGCCTGAAGGAAATACAGAGAAAAACCAACCTGGCATTGCTCCTCGTAAGAGATTTTAAAAGACAATTTTCAAAAAAAAAATAGTTTAATTAAGACAAGTTTGAATGCAATGAATATAACTTCTTTATGAATTCAATATCTCTTGTATGAATGTTACTGGAGTACTTTAATTGCACATTTTTTGCTTATATATCCAATGTTATAGTGGTAATATAAAAAAGCAATGAAATAGCACACTTTCTAATTTTCTTCCAAATATTAACTGTTTGCATGTTTGTGGTGCTATTTAAGGGTCTCACATGGTCCAAAACAAGTGAGATCTTTTCAAAGTTTGGAGAGAGATTAGGATATAATTCACAAATGTAGAGTCCAGTCTTT